AGGCATGTATTGCTGCACTGGTGCCTGAAATCAACAACTGTTCTTCGTTATCTACGCAGTGTATGTTGTCCTCGTGACCGAACATCTATTTTCGCCTAGCAAGCCGCCCATTCCTGCACTGAGTGTCACGGAAAGCAGCTGACCAGTGTGGCAGGACCTGTTGACAGCCTGCAAACTTGAGCGCTCTGCGGTGCAATTGCTCATTGCGAGAAAAGCGTCGCAGAGGAAGCGGACAAGTCAGCCAGGGTTTTAGTGAGAAATCGAGGTGTTGTTGAAGGGGAGAACAAAAAAAAAAGGCCCCTGATGAGTGCCTTAGTTCCACGAACCATGACAGCAAGCTTCGCGCCCCTTCTTTGTGGAGTCACATCACGAAATTTCTTTTCAGTGACCTGTGTAGAATGCTAATTCTTTAGTCTACTACCGTAGCAGCCGTCTTTGCTCTCTCGTTCGCGTCACCAAACGTCATCATTTGTTAAACCAGCAACAATTGCTGCGACATAGAAGTACGGCGTGCCATGCGGCTCCTCTACGTGGGAATAACTTTCGATGAAAACGCAAAAACAGAAAAAGAAAGTAGTAATAATGTTATTGAAATAAAAAAGGAACCGCACGCGATTGTCACTACGGCGAAAGCATCGTCGAGAGCAACGAAAGGAAAACAGCTGCACTTCGACTTCACCGGTGAACATGACCAGTTCAAGCCACGACGTTTACTTTATGGAAGTATGCGACTTCGGCAATTTGTTCCCAAAGAATGCTCTTCTTATGGTTCTTGTGGAAATCCTCCATCTTGACGTCCCAAAGAAGAGATCGTTTTACAACTTCTATCAGCGACTTGTTGAAAGCAGCGCAAATCATTTGTGAGCCGGGAGAGGACGGATGTCGTCTGCTACTCAGTCGGAGCGAGTTGTTCTGTGGAACCAATTCCTCGCAGTGCGCGCGTCAACTTCTCGACACCACCCCCGTCATCACGTGTCAAACGACGTCACTGGTCGCTCTGCCGCTTGTGCCGCTAGCGAATTTTTCCAACTCTGGCGAATTTCACAAGGGCGTCTAGTCGCCGCGGTAGAAACCTGTTTTGGCCCAGCGCGGCGGCTGCCGCTCCGCTCTTGGAGCAAAATCGCTCGCATGTGAAACAGGCTTTAGAGTGCCACGAGCGTGTAACGGAGGTGAACAAGCGCATCTAGGCACGTTAAACACGCGCGCGATCTGGCAGTTATCTTTGAAAACAAAGGTATGCGCGACCGCAGAGAAAGATGCGCGCCAGTCACGGAGGTGATAAGGTGTAGGATGGAAAGTGACGGGCAGGTGCCACCACCGTGCCGTCGTAGCAAAGCTTTGGAAACACCTTCTTGAGCATCGCGTTGCACTGTCAGCGCAGCGCGTTAAACGCTACTGTCCTTAGAGTGTTTTGTGTGTGTCTTCTTTTAGTATAAAGGCAGACATACAAAACATAGACATGTTGTTATGGCGCCTCAGATATGCGTAATATTTGCTTTTTTAATTGACAATTGCACAACTATGAACGCTAAACCTTAAGAAATATTGGTGGGCGCTGCGGATGGGGTTGGCCGTTCGGTGCCATTTGAGGTATCGTTAGGGCGGACAAACAAACAAATGTACAGACAGACGGACAGACCAAAATTTTTCCGTCGAAGGTCCCCAAGAAAGACAATCGTCTTTAAAAGAAGGAAACAGTTTGATTGAAAGCAAAGCCCTCACGAAGTGGTGGGATTCAAACCAACGTAAACAGAATCCCAAGGCGAGTGTCTTGGCACGCTGAGAAAAAATGTCAATAGCTTTGTATAGCATCATCTCACAAGAGGGTAGAGAATAGAAGTAAGGTAAGGGATGGAGGTTGGGAAAGTGTAATACCACATGAAGAATGATGAAGAGAGAAGCAGAGAGAAATGAGTGGAGAAAGAGAAAGAAAGAAAGATAGAAGCAAATAAGCAGACGAGAATTGGGGAGATAGCGAGACAAGGAAAGGAAAGAAAAAAAAATACAAAAAAGAAAGAGAGTATGAGGAAAGAAAATAAAAAGAAACCAAAACGACAAACAAAACAGAGAGAAGAGAGGGAAGGAAATCGATAACTAAGGTCAAACCAAACAGGTCGACTTACTTCTTTTTGTCTTCAAGCTTGGGCACCCAAGTTAAAATGCCGATCAGCTCCGGTGTCTATAGGATCGCGCATCTAGTGCATGCTCATCTAATTGTGTTGTGTGAGCAGCAGGTTATGAGTAAAGTTTATAGACATTTTAAATGGTGTGAAAGGCCTTTATTTTTCACTTCCGCAAAACTATTTGCCACCTGCTGTAGACTCATATACCAGAAATCATGTCAGCGTTGAACTTCAAAGCAAGTGCGAAGTTCATGTTAGCTTTCTAGCACTTATTTCAGTGTGAACTCTCACCTTATCAAATAAAATAGGTTACATTGCAAAGGGTGGCACCTAGCTCAATACATGTAATGCGTCTTTGGTGAGTGACATACACATTTTTAATCAAGATTGGCAAAACCCTTTCGGTTTGCTTGAATTTATCAATACTTTCAACGCATTCTTTTAGCTGACGTTTTCCCACTTGCGACTACCACATCTGACTGGGTGCGTCAAGGGGCTCATAGTAAATAACTGTTAACTAAATATTTTCCGCATTTTTTAAACTAATGCAAATGCATGAAGCGAAGTTATGCGCAAGTCATATATGGAGGGCACAAAAGAGTACCACACCAAGCCAAGTCAAATTACTATCCATTTCAGACATGAAAAAGCCCGATAACTCTTACTTTATTAACACACGTATGGTAGGAGGAGTTTAGTTTTTGTTAACATAGGAAAATCTCCAACACTAAAATTCACAATTCACGACGAAGTTCGTCCAAGTTTGAACATTTTCTGATCTGTACACCGCCATTTTCACATAAGGAATGTCTAACGTAACTTTCCATCATAATTGGACGTAAAAAAGACTTCTCGCCAGAGAAAGCCTCTTGTTATGAACGAATGCCTCCATTAGCTTAGAATCTTGAATTGTCCCACTGAACTACTTGAACCTAAAGTACCTGTATTCGTTGAATGCATCCGTAACGAATCTATTCAATACAAGTGGAATTTTCATAAGGGCCTATATGTGCGTGAAAACGATGTGTTTAGGTATTCTCTAGAAGAGAGTGTAATCAGGCGTGCATCAAGCTTCCAACTACAACAAATTGCCTGTACTAAGTACCAGCAGACGCAAAAAACTTCCACACATCGTCTTTCAAGAGTGTCTCATACGACTGGGAAAAGACGATCAGAGAACGCTTTGTAATTAATGTGTTGTATGCATAGAATGGGAGTTGATTTCTCTTGATTTTTTTTTAAAAAGCATCGGTCCGACGCTACAGCCTGGTCAGTAATGTATTAGGTCGGTTTGCACAAGTGCCCGTCCTTGGCAATGCTACTCTCCTTCGTGAGGTATATATATATATATATATATATATTATATATATATATATATATATATATATATATAATAAAGGATAGGGGAAGATATCAGGCCGAATTGAATCGTAATGTATATGCGAAAAAAAAGTGGGTAAAAAGATAACTTGCCGTGGGCGGGAACCGAACGTGCGACCTTCCAATAACGTGTTCAATGCTCTACGACTGAGCTACCATGGCGGCTATCCTCCTAGCCCCTTTATTACGTATATAAGTGAATTTAAACGTGGAAGTGTCAGTCAGTGTCATCTGCAGTCATGGCGGCGAGTGTGGCACACTCTTTATGAGCCTGTGGGGAATCACGTAGCACGTGAACTTATTACAAGCTGGTAGCTGACCAATAGTCCCTCGTATGGGACTATTTATGAGCTTCCAGCTCATAATAAGTTCACCTGCCTACAGATGAACTTAGCGGTTCGATTCGGTTCTCTTTTCACCCACTTTTCTTTCTTCACATCAACGTTATATATATATATATATATATATTTATATATATATATATATATATATATGTATATATATATATATATATATATATATATATATATATATATATATATATATGATTCAAAAAAGAAATTCTGTGGGTCCAGTGCAAATACAAGTAGGAATAAAGGAGCACACTTACGAAAATTTGATAGTTGTTCACTCTGAAACGTTAATTATGACGAATGCCGTGCCACGGTCGAAACGTAGAGGAAACAACTATCAAATTTTCATCAGTGTGCTCCTTTATTCGTAATTATATATATATATATATATATATATATATATATATATATATATATATATATATAAACCAGGCCTCTAACTTCAAACAGGCGTCGAGCACGATTGGCAGCTTTCGGGGCTGCCTGTGTGCGTTTGTCTAAAGCGCATCGTAGTGGTGCTTGTCCCTTTTTGTGCACAGACCATTAGCAACAAAAAAAGTTCCGTACATAAAATAACCGCTAACCTAAGCTATACTGAACAGTGACTCTTACCGGTCAAAATTGCTTTTCCTTTAAGGCAGAATTAGACAGACTCTGCCGGTACGCGGGACCTACCTTTGGTGGGAGAGGTTCAGGTTTCGCATTTTAGCGTCAAACGCTTTTTACTGTCATATTGAAGAACATCTTATGTGTTAACGGTTTCAAAATTGCAAGTGTCTAATCAAGCACAGTGCCAGGTCAAATTGAGGAAGAAGAAGCGCCTCCATCCACGAGCAAGTTCGTGCTCCCGGGCACTTCCAGCCTGGAATCGACAAAAACAGCTGAAAATAAATGTCTTTCGTAATGTTGAAGCCTCACTTCTTGCCAGTGAACAGTATGCCATTTGAAACAGTTTTTTTGTGCCGAAGATCCGGGAACTGCTACAAGGGACCACGGAAGATTACGGAAGCCTACGACTGAAGTGAACGCTGTGGAGAGGCTGAAACCGAAGCGGACATTGAGACGATCTTTCAACGCCAGGATTATCAACGAGACAAGAGCTCTTCTCGGCGATGCGACAGCTACCATCGATCAGCTTAACGTCATGTACGGACGTTTGAAGGCGAACAAGGATGAGCTGAACCAAATCAACAGAGATTTAGACAGCCGAATATCAGATGAAGAGTTTGAGGAAGAGTACGACACTATCCTTGAATACGAATACAACGCTAACAGCGTCATGAGTGCGCTTACTAGCAAGCGCGACCGTATAGTTGCGGCCATGTCATTGGCACTGGAACTGCAGACTTCGTCCGTAGCGAGTACCGTCTTCGCAAGCTGTACGACCAGTTCATCATCAACATCAGAGGACTGGAGACCCTTAGGGTGAGCAAAACGTTCTTTTCGGCAATTGTGTGCGACATATTGCTGCGGGCTTTACCACACAATCTCGTTATACAGTACCATCGGTCATGCGCCAATCGGGCGGCGTGCTCTCTCTCTAATCCAAGCGCTCGCTTCGTTGGGCGATCATGTACAGTCAATAACGTTGCTCTGGCTAGCAATAGCGCTCCGCGATAGCGTTCCTCCTTATATACCTCTATCCTCTGTTTGATACTCCGCAAGTCCTCAGCGTATACTCCAGGTTTTTCACATTCAAGAGCTGTTAGCCTCTGAAGTGTTCGTCTAAGTTTTTTCTCATTCTCTTTAGATTCAAAAGATTGGAGGGAATATATTTTTGGGATGTACTTCAAAAGATGTTAAAGAAGGAATTAACTCTAAATTGGTTAAATATAAGAGTTGTGCCAATAGTGGACGAAGAGGGAATTTCTTTTGATTTGATTATGCTATGTTATGTTATTATGATTCACTGTTTATGGCGGGCTCGTATGGCGGCTTGTTATGGCGATCAGGATCCACGGCCTGCACGAATGTATTTCCGTGAAGGTATGGCCAAGTTAGTTGAACTGCAGAAAACTCAGGAGGTTGTACGTGAGTGGTTGTCGAGGGTAGAGCCCTTGGCAGCACTTAGAGAATATTAGTTTGTGTTGGACTGTTACTGCTTGTTTTTGTTGTGCTTGTGGTTTCATGTACGGGCCTATGAACAGGCAATAAATAAAAACACAGCATAGCTCAGTGGTAGAATAGTGGACTGGCGCCCAGCAGACCCGTGTTCGAGCTCCACTGCGTCAGTGGTGCAAGGTTTTTTTTTTTTTCTAACTTCGCGCGGTGTGGTTACGGACAACAGCGGCGGCGACAGACAACTGCGCCTGACCGGATCTGTGATCTTATAACAGCTTTCGCTGTAAAAAGATCTCAGACAACACTTAAGCTTCGCCTTCAAAAGCTGAACGCGACAAAGTATTCGAACGTCCTGCTCATCACCTTCTGACGTGCTAGCCTGGCTTTGGTTCACAATGCATGCCCCAAGCATGCCGCACGGAAACAAAGCACTGTGCGCATGACATCAGCCATTTCAAAGTGCCTTAAATTATGTAATTCAATTTTTTGCAAAGTGCCCACTATGCCACAATTATTCCTTTACAAAAAATTTGGCAGATCCCATGTACCTGGGAATCGAATTTATGCGAAGCATGCCGAGGAAAGGTGACCATGGCCTCGCCGTGGTGGTCTAGTGGCTAAAGTACTCGGCTGCTGACCCGCAGGTCACGGGATCGAATCTCGGCTGCGGTGGCTGCATTCCTGATGGAGGCGAAAATGTTGTAGGCTCGTGTGCTCAGAGTTGGGCACACGTTAAAGAACCCCAGGTGGTCGAAATTCCCGGAGCCCTCCACTATGTCATCTCTTCTAATCATGTAGTGGTTTCGGGACGTTAAACCTCACTTATCAATAAATCAAGATGACCGTGGTGAAAGTTTTTATTGAGCGACACGTCATAAACGCTAAATGTAAGTACAAATGTTGCCCGCACAGACATATGTTGAAGAGTTGCAGATGTTTATATAACCATGTGTTTGCACTTGCGCAACGATGCCAACTGGCACATGCGTATTAGCAACACCAGGATCTGGCATCTCATATGCTATTACTCTTTTAACTAGACGTTACCACAGCCTCAACTTAAAGCCTTTGTTTACGCACACGAACATTTTTTCAAGAGCAGTTATTTTCCTCGAGTTATTGAAGGGTGGAACGACTTACCCGGTAGTATTCGTGAATTATCGTTGTCTGATTTTTTACACGCACTGTTATAAGTATTCATTGTTTCTTTTTTCTTTGCGATGATTGTTCAACCTTGTATTCAGTGTACTTTGTTCATGAAAATGTACCCCACTTTTGCAATTGCCTTTTATAGAGCTGAAGTATTTGAAAATAAATAAATACATAAATAAAATGAAAATAAAAAATAATAAATAAATCAGAAGCACTGATGCTCGCGAAGATGCTGGCCCTGGACATTGTTACTTAAATCAACTTCAGCGCATGGTAACTAACAACGATTGACGTTAACCCGACGTGACGGCTGTATCTAAGGAGTACATATGAAATGTTTATCAAGTTGGGTAGACGGCAACCACTATGGACGTTTCACGAAGATTAGCATCTATTTGAAAAGCAGTTCCGAGACCTGGCGTAGCTCTGCGGTGAAATGCTTCATTGCCACGCATAATGCTTGGTTTCAATTCCAGCTGGGACACTGACATTTATTTTTTGCATTCGTCGGGTCGGTGCAACCGATATCGCGTATTTCTTGACACTTGCACGTTAAAATTACCCCTGTACGTTTTCGTCATTTCTGAGTAGATACTAAGTGCCAATCACCTGTGGCACATACCCGCATACCAGTGGCACATACCCACCCGTGGGTATGTGCCACTGTTTTGCGGGAAGTGTTTGATTACGTACGCGACGGGATTGTGACATTATTCATATCTTAACCAGCGCGCCATATTCGTCAAACCATCTTACCCTCGCATACTAACTTTGGTTCACGTCAGGTTAAGAGGGTGACCACGAAAGCACCCAAACGTAAGCGGCTGGATAGATACACTCAAAGTAGCCGAAGTTTGCTAATAAATGCTTTGCATTTAAAAGGGAAGGGCTCCCACGCATGGAATGGAATGAAAAAAACTTTATTTTGGTCCTGCAGGACGCGCTTAGCGCGTAGCGTGCGTCTCCCACGTAGGGACCGACAGGGAGTACCTGGCGGCCGCTTCGTGGGCCTGCTGGACAGCCCATTGCTGGTCGGCGAGAAGTGAGCTCCTGAGAAACCTCTCCCAGTTGCTTGAGGTAGAGTCGGGAGGAGTTGTTCTACACTCCCAGAGCATGTGTTCGAGTGTCGCAGTGTGTCCACATGATGGGCATGTGTCACTGGGGTATGCATCGGGATAATTAATGTGAAGCGTGGCAAGGTTTGGGTACGTGTGTGTCTGTAATAGGCGCAGGGTTAATGCCTGCGGTCGGTTAAGTTTCGGATGTGGGGGTGGAAAAATGCGGCGTTCCAAGTAAAAGTGTTTTGTAATTTCATTGTACGTGATTGGTGCATCCCGATTGGTATCCAACCCAGCAAGATGAGGTTGCCCTGTGGCAGCGCGGTCGGTAAGTGGGCGCGCGCTGCATCATGGGCGATCTCGTTGAGGTTGGATAGGGCACCCGGCACCTAGCCGAGATGGGCGGGGAACCAGATGACAGTGTGGTGCTTCAGGGCACTTGGGTCCGCATTGCGCAGGATGCGTAACGCCTGGTCGGAGATGACTCCGCGTTCGAAGGCTTTGATGGCCGGCCTGGAGTCGCTGTAGATGAATTCCCGTTTGCTGTCGAGCATAGCTATAGCTATAGCTACTTGCTCCGCTACTTCGGGGTTTCGGGTGAGGATTGTGGCTGAGTTAACAGTCTGCTGCGCGGATGATACCGCGACCGCGGCGAAGGCTTGGTTGTTGCGATAGGCAGCGGCGTCCACGAACGAGACGTTGTCCGCTTCCATGTCTATGCGCTTGAGAATGGCGGTCGCCCGCGCAAGGCGCCTGCCTCTGTTGTATTCGGGGTGTACATTTCGTGGTATGGCAGCGATCGTGATAAGGTCGCGGATTTCACGGGGAATTAGAGTCAACTGTGGGGGGTCCCTGGCCCTCGAGGAGAAGAAGCCGAGCTCGCGCAGAATATGGCGGCCCGCCTTGGTGGTAGTGAGTCGGGTCAATTGCACACGTTCCTGAGCTTCAGCGATCTCTTCTAGCGTGTTATGTACACCAAGCTCGAGGAGTTTGTACGTTGGAGTGGTGATAGGGAGGCCAAGGGCTCGTTTGATCACCTTGCGAATAAGCGCATTGAGTTGATCGCGCTCAGCACGTAGCCACTTGTGTATAGCGGCAACGTAGGTAAAATGGCACAAAACAAACGCGTGTACGAGACGCAGCAAGTTGTCTTCTCTGAGGCCATGGTGCCTGTTGGCTGCTCTACGTACGAGTCGTATGGCATTCTCAGTCTTACTCCTGAGCTTGTGTACTGTTTCGGTGTTGGTTCCGCGGGACTCGATGATCATGCCGAGAACCTTGATGGTGTCTACCCTGGGTATAGTACGACCATCTCTGGTGTGGAGGGTGATATTGCGTTCCGCCGGAGGTTTACATCCTTTGGGCTTGGCACCCCGGCGTTTGGGCAAATATATCAACAGCTCCGACTTCGCAGGTGAGCACCTGAGCCCGGTGTGGTTGAGGTAAGACTCGGTGATGTCGATAGCCTCTTGCAGGGCGGACTCAATGAAGCCATCCGACCCTGTGGAGCACCATATGGTTACATCATCCGCATAGATAGTGTGATTTAGCCTGTCTATTTTTGAAAGTCGTTCGGAAAGCCCGATCATCACGAGGTTGAAGAGCGTGGGTGAGAGGGCGGATGCCTGAGGAGTGCCCCGCTGTCCGAGCTCCACTTCTTCCGACACTAGGTCTCCTACTCGGAGGACGGCTCTGCATCGAGTGAGAAAAGAGCGGATAAAGTAGTAAAATCGATGACCTAGGCCGAGGGCTGCGATCGCTTTCAAGATTGACGAGTGCGTTATTGTATCGAAGGCCTTTTCTAAATGGACACCGAGTTTTGCACGAGTGTCCCGAGTGTTTCCGCCATCTAGAATTTGATGCTTTAGGAGTAACATGGCGTCTAGAGTGGATAACCCTGGTCGGAAGCCAATCATGTGGTGCGGGATGTAGTCGTTATCTTCGAGGTATCGACCAACCCTGTTGAGGACGACGTGCTCAGCCACTTTGCCCACGCACGACGTGAGAGATATGGGGCGTAGGTTATCTAGGCTCGGCGCCTTTCCCGGTTTGGGTATGAGAACCGTGTGAGCTAGTTTCCAAGCATCGGGTATCTCACCCTTTTTCCATATCTCGTTGATAGTGTCAGTGAGGTAAGTGACGGAAGAATCGTCC